GAAGCAATTAAATCGCCTCCTTTACAGGTCTTACTCTGTTACACTTCACAGAAACGCAGTACAAATTACCACAGTAACAGAACACTGAAATGAATAAGGTGGAGCAAATAGATATCCTTCCTTTAGTAAAGTCCACACGCGATCCACCAGTTTAAAAAGGTTTGGTTTTCAACATTTCCTCTATAACCAGCCTCACTTGCACCCTTCACATAAATGAGCATGCTAATACACATCGCAGATACACTGTCAATCACTCCACTAAACTGATCTTGTCTTTTATCGTCAGCATATCTAGAGACACATGCTTGCTTTACTGGCCATCATTTCACAGAGTCCAAACTTCTGATCCAACAAGAAGTTGAATGTAAAACTGGGAATGATTGCTTGTTTTGACATCAAGGCCACCACTGAAAAGAAAGACACTGCGCTAAGTTAGCATCTACGTGGCATTTATCTTTGATTTCTTATATATGCAGACACTCCACCTTATATTGATTGGATACACATAGTATCCAACAACTTGAAAGAAGCTTTGCATAGTCTCAATTAACAGATGTTAGCAGGATACATTTTTACACAGAGAGAAAAAAGTCAGATCGATTTTGCTCTTGAGAGTTCCTGAAGACAACCACGTCCAAGCAGATAGCCTTGCAAAATACGGAAGCTGTACAATTTACAATAATTAACGCAGAACTCTTCAGGACTTTCCTCAGGTTACAGCAGGAAACAGGCATTATCTGCTATGTTACCATAAGTTCTTAATGAATCTGTAGTTTTCAACACAGGACACATAAGCCTAATTTGAACAAACATTTATTGAAGCTGAAAAAGAGCTTACCTGGTGTTGTGGGTTTGCCCTTAGGTTCGAGTTGCACATGTGTTCCTTTGACTGGCTCTTCTTTGGACTGAACTGGTTGAGGCAAAGTTGCTTTTGCGGTTTGTGTATGTTTTTCAGTTTTCTGAGGGCTGCAGGGATTCTTTGATAGCGGTTGTTGTACTTCAGATGGCTTAGAAGAAGGAACAGTGACTCTTGAGGATTGTGTTACAAAATCATTTGGATCCTTAACAGGGGAAAAAGGAATAGCATTAAGATGAGACTGTACATTCTTACATTCTCAGGAGTAAAAAGAACGGAAGAATTCTGCATAAGAACACATCTACTCCAGCAATAACAGAAAAAGGTGCTATAAGATTTCTGTAATTTTTTCTTAATCCAGTATTTGAAATTGTTTCAGCATTTGATTCCAGGTGCTTTTGTCAGCTACTTTAGGGATTTTCCCATGCCTCCCTAAACAAGGCTGCACATGGCAGCCATTTCATAAGTGGCATTAACTGAAAAGTAGGTGTCTGGCATTACTGATTTTAGCATTCTGATTGAATTTTCATACATCAATAATATTTACAATTTAAGTCAATCAACTACATCTAGTTACAGAGTGAAATCCAGTATCTCTGTAAGAATCTCCTTTCTGATTGTCAAAAGAGGAGCAATTAATTACTTGTAAAAGTTGACATCAACACTTGTAAGTACGCTCAACTTTAAGTGTCAATAAAAGGGATTCTAAGCTGTTTCACATCTGCTACTAAAAAAATGGTCTATGAGATTGCAATAAAGCAAATGCTGTAAGCAGACTAAGTCCGCTCACACCAAATCTTTAAATTCAGATTAAATAGTTATGAGTTAACATTTGTCCCCCCAATACTCAAATCAATTTTTAATCATCAAGTAAATCAGACACTCACCGCTATCTTGGAGTTTGCTGGTTTATTAATAGAAGCCTCAACAAGCCTTTGAGACCAGGATGCAGCTTCCTGCTTTACACTGCTACTATTGATTCTAGCAGATGCTCCACTTGTAGTGGACAATTTGGATAAACAAGTAGTGCCAGGCTGTTCTTGTGCATTGTTTTGCTTTGCAGATGGATGACTTAGGTCATCTTCCCAGGAACCAATTGTAGCAGCAAGGTTCGCTAAACGGCCTCTTCTCCCAATAGGGGTATCACTTGCCAGGGCATTAGATGCCTGCTTAGGTGGAGAAACACACAGATCTTTTGATTGGAGGGGAGACAGAGGAACACATTCAGAGGGATCTGGAAAAAAAGAACACACATTAATTTTGCTAATAACACACAATGACATATATTTGCATGTTTTGCATTTTGCTATATATTGAGCTTAGCAAACTAGATGTTCTCACCACGGACAGAATCAAGCTACAAGCTCTGAACATCTTGAGACTAATCAAATTAAAGCTCATTGTAAAGCCAACCTCTTTTAACCAAGCAGTTTACCAGTTTTGTGCCACTGTTGTGATGAGCAAGGCATTACACTAGGAAGGAAAAATATTTACAGAATTAAGCTGTAGTCAAGTTTTATTATTTTAGGCCTTCCCCAGTGCCAAGAATTCTATATGAAAATACTAGCATTCACACACACAAAATTACCTCCTGCTAGCAAACAATCATCAATATGAACACTGAAACCCAGCAAAATTACTTAGCAAGTAAAACACACCCTCACTATCCCAGCAACGCCGCTGTTCTGCCAGTTTCTGCATTCGTCTTTTGACTGAAAGGGCTGCAGGAGTTTCTGACCCTGTCTTTGTTCTTCCGTTCTCCAGAGGCTGAACCAATGAAGCCCTGTTAGAAGCAGTTACATTCAGCTCTGAAGCCACCTCAGGAGAACGATGGTTTGTGGAACCTGAAGGAACTGGCTGTATGTTCTCAGAACTGGAAGCCTGAGTCTCCATACTGTCAGGGCACAGCCTCTTTGATGGCGATGGCTTCGTACCAGGTTTTTCTGTACAGATCAGAATATTCAAGCAAATTAGTATTCAAACAATCTAAAATATTTTCAGAGACTGATGCAAATCAAGTTATGATTTGTGAATACCATTATACACCTCAAAAAACAGCCCCTCCCAAAACATATCAAGCACAAGACACTATCTTTGGCATTATACAATTATTTTTAAATAGCTTACTAATTACTTGGAGCATCTGCTCTCAGGTTAAGGTAAATATTAGCCATATTCTGTCCCAGGGGTCAGATAAACTAAACAGTGTTGGATGTGGTTAAGATAAACCTAAGGGCTTTCCCTTGCCCTTATTAAAAAAGGAGACGGGACTTGTATCACGAGACAATCTTTACTCAGCTTGTTGCAAAATACCTTCTTCACCAGGAAGGGGTGCCTGGTTCCCAGTTTCTAACAAAGGTTCTCTGACCCTCTTGGTCTGCATTGTGGGTCTCATTCCCATCTTGGGCCGCTCAGCCATTTTCTTCTGCAGGTTCTCTCGCCTTGCACGGGTTCTTTCAAGGAGTTTCTGAGTGGTCAATAAATCACGTTACTATACATTCCAATAAGTGTGGTAACTGGTAATAGCTCACATTAAAAATTTTTGAAAATTACACTACCTATTTTCAGATCCACAACATCAGAAGTTTATCATGAAGGCTACGTTAAGAGAAATGCAGCTCCCTGATGTTGCTAACTGATCTACTGAAATGCAACGTGACACTCTGGTTTTCTGCCTGGCTCTCCCCTCCTGAAAGCAGAACGAACTAATCATGTTTTCTATGCTGCCAGCTACGTAGTCTTTCTGTCTGTGTCCTTTTCCTCACTGGAATAATCCCTGATCTCCATACTTTGATTTCCCCACTGCAATACCCACAGCTTCTCCTATTTTCAGCAAGTACCTGTCAGTAATGCCAACATTAAAAAAAAAAAAAAAAACCCCACAAGAAAAGAGGCTTCTATAGAGGCTGAAGAAATATTTAAAAGTTACTCCTTTAGAAATGTTTAAAAGCTCCTTAGAAATGTTTAAAAGTAGCTACTCCTTTTTACTGATCGTCACATGACAGTCTTGAACTGTCAAATCTTGCTAATAGGGTGTTTCTTTTGCCACAAAGGTAAAGCATGTGGTCAAGTCATCTGATTGGCACTAACCCTCTAACAAAATAAACAGTAATGAAGTGGCTGCCAAGTGGTCACAAAAAAAAAAAGTATATATAAAAGATCGAATTAAAGGCATGGCTGTTAATATTTTAAAAAATGTGGCTATTACACCTTCTAAATCAAAAAGTGAATGTCTCTTCCTCGATATGAAATTTTAAGAAGATTAGATTGATGTTATAAATAAACAGGCTATTTATCACAATATATATGTTTACAGAATTACATATAGAGAAACCAATTAAACTACCTAACAACATTCTCTTTCATTCCTTATCTACTGGAAATTTGAGTAGAATGATTGCATTCCATATGAAGTCTCGTTTAGGAAGTGTTCCACACTAGCAGAAAGTGATGGCTTATAGTATCCAAGTTTGAAATAGGTTGTGCTGGCTTGGTTTATTTTGAAAATACTGCATTCATAAATTATTATCATTCGGTTTGATCACATCTAAAGGATACTTGATTATTCCTTTGATCTAGGTTTTAAGGCACTTTCAGACAAGAAATTGTGACTGAACTAATGGCCTTTCAAGGGAAGCATATAAACTGCACTTGTTTGGTGGAACATAAATTATTGCAAGAACTGTGCCAGCCATTATCTGTCCTGTTGCACAGCAATTAAATACACATTTCACATTTTTAACTGTCTAAGGCTGAAGTCTTAAACAATGTCCCATTGTAGGGCAACACAGGACAAACGGAACGTCAATCTCAACAGTTTTTTGTGAAAGCAAAAATCAGCTTCTCTAACTTGCACAAGAGGAGGATTTATTGGGGGGGGGCGGGGGGGCAGGGAAGGGACACACTTGAAACACCAGGAGTGCCTTCAATACAAGTTCCATCCTAGTTGTGTCCACAAGTCCTTTTATTTCAACCTCCAAACGGTTGAGCTACAAAGTGCAAGTAATACAAACATAAATACATCTTAGAGGCTCTATAAATTAACTGTTCTTCTTGCACACAGTTGTGTATATCTTCCACAACAGTATTTCTGCAGTTTTATTCAAATGCTGTCACATTCCTCCCCATTTTGTTAGCACAGTGAAATGGAGCCTCAGTTGTTACAAATTGGGTGTCACTTCCCAAGAATGCACGCCTCTGCTGCTCAGCTCCAGCTCCCATTGGCATTTGGCAGCTCAAATTTTCCATGCAACTGCCAGAATTCAAACTCTGCTATTACACACAATGAGTAAGCCAGTCACCAGAACTTGAGAATTACTTTTCCAGTTAATCAACAGGGTATTTGCTACAAGTAGGTTCTCCAAGTGTTCTGATGACAGCAAAATTTCAGAGTAGGACATACTTATTTGACTACACCCAGGAGCTGGAGAACTATTAAGTCCTAGTTAGAGGATCATAGTTTGTGTTGCAAAAGTACCTTCTAAAATCAGAAAAATCCTTCCCATTTTAAATGCTGATGCACTACCTTGTTTTTTCAGAAAAGTAAGTTTTAAGGTACATTTAGCAGTGTTAAAGAAGATACTCAGGCCCAAATATTATTAAAGAATTTTTCTACACTGCTTTACTAGCCAAATGCAAATGGAGCAAATCTATCCACAACATCAATGGATTGGTTAACTTCAAACCTCACACGTGGAAATTTTCCCCAGAGCAACTGCATCGTTTATTTCTCTTCAGTCATCCTGCATGCTAGAAAAACCATACTTTGCTCTACGAATGTTAATAAACACTTCAAAGTGCAAAATAACTGGGACTATTTCTAACATTCTCTAATACCAAACATAAAGCCTTTGTGCAAGAAAGGTGAACCATACAATCAGCTATAAAGAAAAAGTCACAAATAGGATCCTCTTCCTGATCCTAAAAAAGTACCCAATGCACCATCTCCTCAGCGTGTTCTGTATTAATAATTAGGTTGAGATTCAGAAGTTTATTAATTTTCTCTTCTAAGAGTAATCAAAAGAAACATTATTTCAGAACTGTGTGATTTGAAAGCATTCCACTGAATCTTAGAGTAAGATCTGTTGGAGCATCAGTTTAGGTAGACAAGGATAAAATTTGTCACTGTAAAGCGATCAAATATTGAATTAACAGCATGCTTTGGCCAATTAAGACTTAAATTACACTGCTTTAAATAATCAACACTTACAATGCCTCACCAGATCCCAAGCAAGTAACATAGCACATTAATTTGTAGACAAGGATTATCTGAAAGTAGTGAATCTAAGGAAAGCCTGTATTAAGAGTAAGAAATAAAAATAAATACTTCGCAGTAGGTGATAAAAAACCCTTCCTTTTCTGAAAACTTTTTTGAGGAAAGTTATTAAACTTCAGTAATAATATTGGCCAGATTCTTACACAGCAGCGGAATGCCCTCCACAGTATAAACACTTTTGATATGGCAACATTTTAGGCACTCTGCAATACTAACATTTGAATGAAGCTCATTCTGAGGAGTGGCCTCCCAGTTCTAAGTAGCATTTCAAAGTCAGTTATCTACAAGAAGGGTGTGTTGAGGTTGGAATATCTCCCAGCATGCAAAACCATTTTAAACATGATTCAGTAGTCCAGACTTGAAGTTTATTTAAGACCAGTTGGATCATGTCACTCACTACCAATTAAGGAAGGAGGTTTTAGGTGTTTATGCTAAGCAAGCCCTAACATCGGGATAGCGTAAATCTGCCTTGACACAGCACACTGAGTGTTCAGATCAATACCTTATGTTCAATTTTTTAAAATCAGATCTGTGCAGTTACCTTTTTTGGACGCTCAATTTATTTAAAGTGTGTTTCTTTGACAAAGAGAGACTGTTTTCAAGGGGAGGAGAAAGTATTTCACCAATGTATTTTATGTGGATTTAAAAAAAAAAATCGATTTCATTTTTTCTGCGTAGGCAGGCTGTTGCTTGAAGGCCATGTTCACCACTGCACTTGTCAAAGCAGCCTCCAGCCAGCTCCACAGCTCTACAGCTGCTCACACACCAAACCAGAGCGCAGGGCAGCATCTTTCAGAAACTTCCAGCCTTTCTACGCGTTTAAGCTGGTCAATTCCACTCGTTTTGCTACAGTTTTACCTCTGTAAAACTCAAGCACAAATCCACCCTAACAACTGACGAGTTTAAGTCTCTTAAGAGGAACTGTGTCTGCCAACGAAACCGGCCGATAACAGGAGGCGGCGGCAGTCACGCCAAGCAGGACTCATTTCTAAGCAGAAGGCCACTGCTTTGGGCAAACTACAGCCTGGCAGTTCAGCCAGTACCGCTCACATTAACTTCTATGGCCCTTTATCTGCTAGAAGCAGATACAAGGCAAACGCCAAAGCACCGAGAAGCGCAGTCAGGGGTTAGAAAAGGTCTTTTCCCCTGCAAAGTCTGGCAGGAGCAACCCCTCTATCCCCTCCTGGAAGAGACCTGACGCCCCACGAACGCCTGGGCAGCATTGCAAGCAAGACGAGGAGGCAGAGTGGCAGAGAGAGGGGCTCGCTACAGGCCCACAAACCCCCGTATGAGCGGATGAGCAGCGCCCACAGGCCCGGGAGAAACTAATTCCGGCCCG